GTAACTTTGAAGAGACATTTTGTACTATAAATAGGCGATGATTATTTTATAAAAGATATAGTCGAAAAGTACATAAGAAAGAAATAAGAAAGCATTCTCTCCCATATATCTTGTTCATATATTTATTGTCTTATATTATTTTATATTGCTAATATTTCACAACATTTTTTTATTTTTTAATTATTATCCTCATTTTTATAAGTTTAAGAATGTTATTATGTTGTTATTAAAGGTGTAGAGTTTGTTTTGCATGCTATACTTATTGTGCCAAAAAGCACATGGATAATTATAGATAATAAGCATCCATTTTATTTTGAATAAGTCCATGATAAATTTACTATCACGATACATATATATAACTTTACTCATGCTAAATAAATAACATTTAAAAACCCATACTATGTTACTATATCTTAGTTGAGACTTTTATTTGTTGTTATACTGAATGGACTCCATAGAAAGAGTCACAACCAAATTGTAACTTCAAAAATTAATTTAACATCTAATAATCGTTCTACCTATTCATTTCAAGTTCAACTACGATATTGCTTTGACATATATGAACACCTATTATCTTTTGAGTTCTATTCTTTTCAATTTAATTTTGCATATCACACACATATTTTAATAATATTTACATTTTAAATGTATGTATTGATTGTCAGAGATATACATGCAATGCACGTGTCTAGAACTAGTCTTCTGTCACGCCCCGAGCCTACACCCTGGGCGGAACTTGCACTCGAGAACCATTGATATTTTGTAAGTTTCCGTTTTAAGAATTTTCATTTGGATAGTTGGTTAATTTGATATTGAACAAGTAAAGAGTATGAACAACTTGGAGCACTATGTAGAAATCAATAATTAAGGTATGACTATTTTGTAACCAATCTTTATAATCTGATCAACAAGGTTTATTTTTTTACTTGTCCTAAAGTATGAACACCCTTGACGAAAATCCTGGCTCCGTCACTGGCGGGAAGGGTAGAGGGTGGCGTAAAAATGATTTTTTTAAAAAAAATTGAAATATTTTACAAAAACAATTTTCTTTTTTTAAAAAAAATTGATTGGGAAGGCCTGGGTGGGGGGTGGCGTGGGGGGAGGGGGTAGAGGTGGGGTGGCGTAAAACATGAAAAGTTTTTTTATTTTATTTTTAAAAAAAAAATTGACGGGGTGGCCTGGGTGGAGGTGGGGGGGGGGGAGTGGTGTGAAAATAAAAAATAAAATTGAAACATTTTTCAAAAACAATTTTTTTTCCGGGGAAGGGGGGAGGGTAGGGATTAGGGGTGGTAGGGGTTGGGTGAGGTAAAAGAAATCTTAAAATATGAAACATTTTTCAAATATAATTTTAAAATTTTCATTTTTTTTGTTTGACCGGGGTAGTTTTGTGGTAGGATAAAAATATATTTGAAATTTAAAAAATAAGAAAATTTATAAATAAAACAAAAATTGAATGAGGAGGGTCGGGTGCAGGTTATGGGTAGGGTAAGAAAAAAAAATTAAGGATGAAGTTAGAAAATATTTTCCTTAGTTTTGGAAGATGAGTCATTTTTCTTAAATTTGATGAAAATAAGTTGATTTGAAAAAGATTTTCAAAACATTTAAGCCAACCAAACATGAAAAAATTGGAAAACAGTTTCCCTCTATACCAAACACACTCTTAAATAATTGACACTTTATTTGATTTCTGTACCAAATAGGATTTATGTTCAAAGTTACAATTCTTGAAGATATAATCTTCTTGCTTGAATAACTAATTTTCAATCTTTTATTCGTTTAGTTTCAGATTTTTTCATTTTCACGTCAATTTAATTCTTCAAAATAAAATACATTATTAAGCATAATTTATAAAATTAATGCTCAAAAAGTACAAATAAAAATACTAAATATGAAAAAAATAATAACTAAAAATATATATTTTTGGCCTCACATCGATAACCAACAAATTGAATTGAGATTTCAAGCTTTGAACAACAATTTACAAAAGAATTGGACACTTGCAATAATTCAAATATTTTTACTTTTTCAGACACGAAAAAAAAATAAAACTCCTGAACTAAAAAAAAGTTGAAAGTGTGATGGAAACTAAATATATTGTAACAAATTTAGCACCATAATAATCCATATATTTTTTTCTCTTTTACCACACACTTTAGAACTTTTTCACATTAGTGTTCCATATTTTATATCATTATTACTTTCTTAATGGTGCATTAAATTAAATTGTGACAAGTAAAAGTGAAGAGAAAGAGTAATTGAAATCTCAAACAAATACTATTAAAGAGTATTGAATGTCACTGTAATAAACTATTTTTCTTTTCTTTTTTTCTTTCTTTTTATATTAGCTCACTAATGTGTTTTTTCGCTGCAAATCGATTGCATATATACAGCTGCTTGCATTCCATCAAATTTGTCTCCCATTGGCTTCTTCTACCAATGGAAAACTGAGCTCAAGTCCCATATAACAGTAACTTTTTTCTGATAATTATATATCGAAAAAAGATATAAAGTCACCACTGAAATAGTTCAGAGTTTTCAAAAAGACACCTTAACTTTACAATTGTTCTATTACCCCACTAAACAATATTGAATTGTTATTATTATATCATTTTTTTATCAGCCCCAAATTTTAAGAAGCAAGGTTGTTCACATACCAATCATTACATGACACGTGTTAATTTAATTAATTTTTTTATTATTCTTAGTTTTTTCTTTATCTTTTATTTCTCTATTTCTCTCACTCTCTTACTTTTTGACTTATTTTAATTTGATTTCATCTTCCACCCCCTCCCCCCTTTCAAGTTGATTCATCCCTCCATTTTCTTTCTTTTTCTTCACCTTTCACCCTCACCCCATCCTTGACATCAAGTTGAACCTCTCTCCTATTTTTTTCTTTTCTTTTTCTTCTTCATCTCCAATCAAATTCTTTATTTCAATGATTTTTTTATATACATACTATTTTCTAGACTTTATTAAATTATTGATAACAAAATTAATTATTTTTCTAAGAAAATTTAACTTTTTGAAGGTATCATCAATTACTCGTTTTCATATAACTTCAAAATTAGAAATGATAATTTTAAAAGAATCAATGAATTCCCCAAAAATTGAAAGAACTTGATTGAAATCGGATAAAAAAAAATTATATGATACCTCCTAGTCATCTTGAAATCTAATGGGTTTATCAAATTGTTCGAAATGTAAGAAAATATTTAGATAAAATTTTAAAATTAAAGAGAGTAAAATTAATAGTAGTAAAAAAGGGAAGGTGAAGTTGTGGTAAAAATGGTGACATTGTGAGGGTGAGAAGCTTCAATGGAGATAACAATAAATTTTTGAAGAAGAAAGAAAGAGAAAAAATAATAAGGAAAAAAAGTTAAAATAATAATAAAAAATATTTTATAATAAAATTATATTAGTTATTTTAGATTGCTCACTCTCTCAACACACACTCTCTATGTCAGGTGGACAAAAAATGATGTTATAATATCCGTTCAAGATTGTTTAGTGGGGTAATAGGACGCCCGCATAGTTAAGATGTCTTTTTGAAAATTCGGGACAAGTTCAGGTGTCACTTTATGTCTTTTCTCTTATATATAATATGAGTAATAAATACTCTCTCTATTTCAAAAAGTATGACCTACTTTTCTTTTTAGTCTGTTTAAAAAAGAATGACCTCTTTTCTTTTTTGGTAACATTTTAATTTCAACTTTCCACGTGGCATGTTTAAGGCCACAAGATTAAAGGGCAATTTTGTACATTTGACATAACTTTAATTTAGTAATACAAGATTCAAAAGTCTTTTTTTTTTAAACGGAGGAAATAATATATTAGGCATCTAACAATATAATTTTTTAGTCTTTTTGTGAGAGCTCATTTTGTTTGGTTATCCAGAAACTATCGAGAACCATTTTTTATCATAATATTTTAGATATTCATGCAATCTACTCTTTCTCTTCGTATACAATAGTTCTTCAATAATATCATATAATGTTTAGGTCTTGTTTCAAATATATTTTGTGTATTGAATAGTTTTTAATAGGATTTTGGCCAACATTTGAGCTGGTGTTAGTCGGAGCAGGTTGAAGCTGAACAAGTCTTCATTGGTGTCGAATTCATGGCGTTTGTGAGAGGTTAAAACTTAAACATTCAAGTGTATATCACACGACCATTCTTCGATTTCTCTGACCACCGACAAGGCCATCGAAGCTCTGGACGATGTTGAAGAGATAAAAAGTTCTTTCTTTCCAGAGGATTCTGTCTGTCTTTGTTCTTAATTTGTTAACTATTTTGTTATTTCTACATATCAGAGGCTTGATTCGAGGTAGGTAATAGTTGGTATGTTTCTCGGGTTTTGTATGCATGTATGTGCCTGTGGGATAAGGAGCCTCAAATTTACCAAGAAAGTGTTGCAAAAAGTTACTTGCATACTATTTAAGTGAAAATTTTGACTTTTTATTACGAATACTTTTAGTCTATATAACTTAAACTCATCAAAACTATGAACGTCCAAGAATGAATTAGCTTAACTATGGTAATTAACGAGTTATCCTTATGGTTGTAACATGATTTATGCCTTTTTTTCTACTTTACGTGCTCGTTTTGGCAAGGGTATTAGGCTAAGTTGATTGAATGGTTAACTACATTGCAGGATAGCAGTTTCGTGATATCCAGTACGACTACATCAATGACAGAAACATGTTGGATACTGAAGGTTGAGAAATCTCTTATGACCATTTATCTTATTGAACGATTTTCGCCTTCTAAGTCCTTGGAGGTATCTTACTGGACTCTATTTCAGAGTCCATACTTAATTTGGATGTTTTGACCTTCAAATGTGACCATGTTCATGTGCTGTTAGATCTTCTAATTCATGGTCTGCACCGGGATATCGATATTCATCTTGAGATTAAATCCAATGAGAATAAACTACTGGAATTTCAAGAGTACTAATATCATGAACTTCATCTTAAAATGGATCATTTCTTTCACCATATGACATCAACTCTATCAAACATGATGAATAATATTCATGAATCAAACAATAATGTCCTTAAACACCTATTAGGGGTATTGGACTTTAAACGAAAAAATGTTGCGATTAATAATTCAGGCCCCGGCCTTTTGCTCATCTAGCTTTGTTAGATGAAGCAGAAGAAGGTGGGGAGGGAAAAGCTATTTAAGCTGATGTACATTTACTTGTAGCCCGAAGGCCGAATTCATTCATGAAAACAGACTAGGTGTACTCTCTTACTATTGATGACTCCGTCGTTGCTTCAGTTTGTAAATAATTGACTCCCTAGAGTAACAGTGGAAGTACCTTCTCCCATAACAGTTGTGTGGATCATCTCCCTCTCAAGAATCTTTTCAAGATCCAACACGACCGTTTCCATGGTTGGTCTATATCTACCAGGGAAACTCATGCATCTCAACGCTATCTTGACGAAATCCCTCATAACCTCTGCAGTGAAGCTTCCTAGCAGCCTATGATCCACTAACTGCTCTGAACTCAGCTGTTTTTCAACCTTTTTGCCAAGTTTACATAAACATATTCAGTAATAAACATGATGAATGATGCAAATGAAGATATTGAATTGGTTCTTTTAACTTACCCAATCAAGTACACTTTGGTTTGATCCAAATTCATCTATATGTGAAGCATCCCTACCAGTTACAAGCTCTAACAGGAATACTCCGAAACTGTAAACATCACTTGTCTCACAGTGAATTCCGATTTGGCTTATCCTAAACACGGAACAGAAAACGAATCAAAAAGTAATTCAAAGTCAAGTTTCTACAACTTCAAATGAGGTAAAGTGCTATTTACTCTGGATCTTTAAAAGCATTGAAAGAACTCAAGCCAGAAGGACCTGCATCATCAATTTTCTCGAGTAGCTTTAGAATCCCCGCGTCTGCAACTTTGGCAATGAAGTCCTCATCAACCAAAACATTAGCTGTTTTAAAGTTCCCATGGATTATTGAAGGGTGTTGGCTATGTAAATGACTTAAACCTGTTACATTTAAGATCAAATTTAGTGTCATTCTTCGATAAATCAGGACACTTTAACTCGAACGAATCTTTATGATATACCTTTAGCTGCTCCAATAGCAATAGATAACCTTTGCTTGAATTCTAGCTTTGTTGCAGATTCCTTTCCTGTGTCTGACAAAAGAACCAATATTCAGCTTTGGCATATAATCGCGGGTAATGTCTACTCAATAGAGCCCTACCATACAAGTGATTGTGCATGCTTCCATTAGGCAAATACTCGAAAACCAGCATGGAGTATCCACTGTCTTGACAGTAGCCTAAAAGACTGACCAAATTGCGGTGCTGAATCCTTGATAAACGAGCAACCTATTATTCGAAATGCAAAGTTAGAAAATAGCTAGCTAGCTAGCTTTAGAATCATATGTGTAGTGATCAGTACTAGAGACATAAAATTGAATTAGATGGTTTCCACTTCTAAAACAGGAATATGAATTGTATCGATTCCTTAAGAAGGGAATGAATGAAGTGAAAACATGAGTAGGACTAATCCACTCCTTGTTGTCTTGCCCTTTTCTTGTAATTCAATTAAACAATCAACCCACCCCCTTTAAATAGCTAAACATACCTCTTCAGTAAATTCCTGTTTTGGAGTCCCTAAACGCCTTTTTATAGCAACAACAGTTCCATCACAAAGCAATCCTTTGAAAACCAGACCAAAACTCCCACAGCCAATGAGACTGTTCTCATCAAAATGCTTTGTAGATTTCTCCAATTCTTCCATTCTGAACAGCCTTGGTGGACCAAAAGATCCTCCCCTTTTCAGCTCCACTGAAACACTTAGAGTTAGCATCGCGTAAATTTCCATACTTAGATAGTGATGATTGCTACATTACCTACTGCAGCTGGATCTGAAGAAGCTGAGTCTGAATTCCTATTTGAATACTTCCTTCCGCGAAAACTCCGAAAACATACAAAGAAAATCACTCCCAAGAACACTACTACAACCCCTCCAATTCCTCCTGCTATAGCTGCAAATGAACTTGCCATTCAAGAAAATCATTCAATTTGAACATTGACAGTTTGTGGTTCAAATTACTGTTGAAAAAGTCTCATGTCCTTCTTCTTCATGAATGAATAAAGGTAGCAACTTACTCCATCAGTACTAAAGTTCAGATCAAGAAATGGTGGTCCTCTTGATTTATTATGTACTACTTCAAAAAAATATAATTACTGAGAAATGTTGATTTTCAAGAATGGTAAGGAAGCAATGCAGCCAATTTCCTTCCATAAGACAACTCATTGGGCTAAAGTTTCATAGTACCCCACTTTCTTGTCCATGCATTCACACAAACATATGTCATTCAAGAAAGTAGCTCTACCATAGTTGAAGAGCCCCTCTTTTACCTGCTCAGTAAAACTAAAGAAAAAGGAATTAATATGAGTAGCTTTCTTCAGATCCTGTCTCTCTTTACACCAATTCAGTTAAGATTACATACCTTGTCAGTTGTACAAGTACTTTTTGATTCCTCTGTGTAGAAAGATAGTTGGCATTAAAGGTGTATGTCTTAACAATTTCCACACACAAAGAATAATATTATCTTAATAAGATAAAATCTTGATATAAGGGGATGTTACAAACCTCAAATTTTCACATGAAATTACTAATAAAATGTGTTTTTGTAAAGTCTTGGGGTACCTTTCATAATGGAGAGAGGTTGTCATCCAATCTCAGTAGCTTTTTAACTCCGACAACAACGATATATTCAATGTAATGAGTAGTTGTAACTATAACAAATAACATATTCGGTGTAATGAGTAATTGTAACTACAACAAAAATATATATCCAGTGTAATGAGTAGTTATAACTACAATAACAAACAATATATTCAATGTAATTTCACAAGTAGTATTTAGGAAGGCTAGGATATACTATGTACACAGACAGTGGGGTAGCCACATATAGCTTAGGGTAGCTAGTCGGACACTTGACCACCCTTCGTCGAAAAATTATATGAAGTACTCCCTCTGTCCATTTTTTTAATTGTCATGTTACGCTTTTCGAAAGTCAATTTTTACTAATTTTCAAAGTTAAATTAGATTACATTAATTCGATATTTTAAACAAAAAATTTAGTTATTCAAAAATTATACGAAAAGTACTATAAATTGCATTCATATCAATATGATAAGGAAAAAATACATCGTAAAATGTTAGACAAAGTACTTATCATTTAACTCTAAAAAAGAAAACCACGACAATTAAAAGTGGACGGAGTGAGTATATAGGTCAAAAATTATTTTTCATATATATATATATTAAATCATTAACACTTTTAACAAAAATTTTGTCTTTACCACTATACAGAAACCTTATCCCTCCTGCCTTTATAGGCAGAGATTGTTTTCGAAAGACTTAGGATCAAAAGAGGAGATGTAAATGATACTCCCTCCGTCCCTATTTACTTGTCCATATTTCCTTTTTTGGTTGTCCCTATTTAGTTGTCCATTTTGACAAATCAAGAAAGGACAACAAATTTTTTCCTATTATACCCTTATTTACACTTCTTGAAAATTGTAAAAGTGTATGTTGTTTCCCTCCAATTTATTTCACTTTAATTCAAATAAGTGGTTGTAATTTTGAAGTGAAAAGTTGTCATAAGGGTAAAATTGTAACTTCACTGTGCTAATCATTGTTGCCTTAATCTGTGTGCCATTTCTAAAGTGGACAACTAAAAAGGGACGGAGGGAGTAGTAAAAAAGTTTTTGTCTTTACTAGGTTAGGAACAGTGAAAAAGAAAGAGTAGTAACTTTTACTGGAGAGACATAATAATTGAAAGGAATCAAAAGAAAAGGTGAGAAAACCCATATATCAAATTTAAATGTTTTCCTTGTATCCACACTATTGAGCCTTTTTGGTTTCTTTTTCTTTGTATGACCTGGAAAGAAGAAGAGTCTCTCTTATTATTATTTTTGTTGGTAGAGTGAGACATCACCTCATTACAGATCATGACAGCTGAGCAAATAAGACATTCCCTACACCAAAATCCATACACACAAATGTTGCTGGACTTACTTGTTACACCCTGGGCCGTCTTAACCCCTATGCCACTAAAGCAATCGTTTGGAATCCTATTTTTTGGAGGGCTCCATTTTAAAAAATTAAAATTACTTATGAATGCTATTTTAAAAATAAATAAATTATATGTACTATGTGTGTTATGATTTCTACTAAGGAAATTGCATATGAAATGAATATAGAACTCGAATTTCGTAAGAAACAATTTGATGAAAATATTGATAACGAAATCACATAGTCCCTTGAATCTAGAGTTGATTACTTTATATTTTTGATAACGAAATCACAAAATATTGAATCTATTTTTTTTTCAGTTCAAAATAGATTTGAACCAATTGAATCATATGAAAATGTTTTTTTGTTTCTTGTTTAGTGGTAAATTGATATCACTAGATGTTGAGAATTTTAAAAATATTGTCTTAACCTTGAACTTTAACACATAATAGTTATTCTATTATTGATAGTTTAGATTTATTTTTTGAATTGAAGGTGTTAAGAGAAATAATACACGTAGAAGATAATGATCTAACGAAAATATACAATCAAATAAAAGACTTGATTCTTTTTCAAATACACATATTGCTTATAGAATAATGTTAACAGTTTCTCTAATTGTTGCCTCAGCCGAAAGAAGTTTTTCAAAACTAAAATTGATTAAATCTTATTTAAGATCAACGATGTCTCAAGAGAGATTGAATGGATTAGCTATATTATCAATTGAAAAGGAATTATTAAAACAAATCGATTATAAAACAATAACTAATGATTTCGCATCTAAAAAGGCTAGAAAAATAGATTTTAAATAAAAGTATATATGATGAAAAAATAAAAAGGAAAAACTACAGAATATGGCAAACATCAATATATATTTAAAATAAATAGCTATAGTTTATTTATTTTTTTATGTTATATGGATATAACTACACAATAAATAGCAAAGTTAATTATATACAAATAATAGAAAAGTTATTAAATATTAAATAGGAAAATTATTAATACAAGGATAATTAATTATGTCTAGGCACATTTTATGTGATCAGTTTTTCATTTTTATCCTCATTAATATATACTTTCTCTTTCATCAATATTACAATATCACATATTCTCAAATTTTCCTACCATATTCCTTCCAATTTATGATCTTTTTGATGATTCTAGGAGCAATTTTTGTGATTTGAAAAGTATCTTTGAATTGATTTTTCTTTCTCTTTTTATGAAGATTATATTTGTATTCATCTATATTTTCATCTATTTTTTTAGGGGTTCGATTGAAGAATTATTTTGTTTTCTCCATTGCAATGGTTATAGTTATAAAAAAAAGTAGTAAAGGAAGAACATGAGCAAAAAGAGATTGAGGTTTGTGTGATTGTGATTTAAATTCATCAGGTATTTTTTACGTAATTGATTTTTTCTCTCTTTTTTATGAAGATTATATTTGTATCCATCTACATTTTCATCTATTTTTATAGGGGTTCGATTGAAGAATTGTTTTGTTTTGTCCATTACAATGGTTATAGTTATACAAAAAAAAATAGTAAAGGAAGAACATGAGCAAAAAGAGATTGAGGTTTGCGTGATTATCAAATTTGTATATAGTAGAATACTTATATATATAGATACTTGTATTGTAATATTAACACAAGTTGAAATGGTGATTTGTGCATACAAGTATATCTGGATACATAAGTAATCTATCCAATTTAAAAGATTGATTAGGCAATACAAGTATAATTGAATACATTAATACTATATTTTTATAAACAAATACATGAGTTAACACCAAACCTCAAGTATTACAGAAAAAACTTGACCAAAGAGAGATTGACGTTTGTTATATTTATCAATTTGTATACAAGCGAATACTTACACACTTTTAGATACCTACACATTCTATTATTTTCCATTTTTCTTGTTTCTTTGTTGTCCAATGTATCTATCTTTTGTTTAACAACAATGTATTCATATATATACTATATTGTATTCATTTTTTGAATAACAACAATGTGTATTCATTTTTCAAATTGTCGTGTTCATATGTTAATTGTCATACTTTACCTTGTTTGATATATTTACATTACGTTTTTATAAATACTTGTATTCTTGATATATTAATACTTTAAGTCTTATAAATAGATATACCAATTTGAATTCAATGTATTCATATGCTACACAATTAATACATGCTCCTTATTTAGTTCATTGTAATTAAAATTGTATTAGTGTATAAATAGAAAAGTAAAAACATATAAAGAAATACAGCTAGAAAAAGATATAAATTGTAGTTATTTTTTATAAATAACATACTTATAGCTATTGAACTTTAATAACCCTATAAATATAGTCATTTTTGTAAGTTGCTCAAAATAAAATATTAGGGCCCCTCCCTTAAATTTAGCTACAGGCCCCCAATCTTGTTAAGTCGGCCCTGGTTAAACCTCAATATTTAGAGGTCAATTTGGTCGGTGATTATAGTTATGCAGGTATTAATAATGAAGAGATTAGTTATGTAAATATTAGTAATGAAAATATTGGTTATGCATTAAGTATTAGTTATTTCATCTTCTATCATGTATAAAATAATATACATAGATCATGATTCTTTCATAACTTATATATATATTAGTTGTGTAGAAAAGAAAAAACATAAATCAAACACAATGTTATGTTTTAAGTGGAAAAAATGAAAAAAATAATAGAGCATTGTATAACTTATGCTAGATTCTATATAGAGATTAATTTTTTTCCAATTTTCGCAACCAAACAATATATAATTAAAGTTTATGCAAATTTTAATAAATGGATAATTTTAGTGTTTCATGTAACTATTAGGGGTCACTTGAATGTTTGTTAGAGTCATATAGGTATTTGGTAATGTAAGGATTATAGTCATGCATGTATTAGTAATGAAAGTATAAGTTATGCAACGTTTAATTATTCCATCTTTTATCCTATATAAAATAATTAATCATAAATTTCTTCAGTATTAGTTATGTGGAATTATAGATAGATAACCAATTAAGCACCATATATAGTACACTAAA